TGAAAATCAAAATTGAAATACATTTATTTTAAGAGAATACATATAAATACATCAAGATCCACAAAGCACTTGTAAAAGTCTTTGAATAGTAATTTGGCACCCAAACCTTGTAAATGTAATTTGTAATTTAATATATTTGGTTTCTTTTTTACTTTTACTTTATTTGTCTGTTTCATCAAACAGTCTGTTTTTATTAAATGAAAAAGTTCCTAATTCCTAATACATTAAATATTTTAGTATGTCCTAGCTTCTTTAGACTTTCAATATAATAGCCATAGTAAGAATTCAGTATAAAGAAAAAAAACCCCATAAAACAACAATAACAATAAAATAACTTTGAAGCCTTTTGACTCAATCAGGTTTTCAAAGAACATTCTAAATAAAAATTCACCAGACCATTACTGTAATGGATTTGCTGTGGTTCCCGAGAGCAGAGAGGGCAGCGGGTTCCAAAAGCAGCCAATACTGTGCAGGGACTGGGCACACCTCGCAGCAGGTCTCCAAAGGTGACTGGTTCCCTGGGCGTCCCTGGCAGGTAGCTATATGGGCAGCAGGAGAGCAAGGAGCAGACAGATAGGCACACCATGCAGATGGGTTTTCTGCAAGCTTTCAGGATCCTGAAAGCAGCGCACAAGACCACGCGGCAGTTCTCCATGTGACTCTGGCCGGTGGTAGAGAGAGATGGCTAAATATACCATACAGAGTAAAGTTAGACATTTATTAGATAGATTATGGAGGAGAAATAAAAAGTGGAGAAGGGGGGAGAGAGAGAGAGAAAGATGAATAGAGGGAGAGATGCTGCCTCTCCAAGAGAGGGGACCGGATGAGAGAAAGTGGGGATCTGAGGCTGCAAGCAGGAAGGGAGTGGGCATGGCCTGTCTCTTAAAGAGAAAGAACAATCATTACATTCCCAGCTCTTTTTTATAATAAAAAGTGGGAGATTAGGCACCAAAAGTTGAAGGAATTGGGGTGGTGGATTCTCAAGACTGCTTCCTACTTATTTGTGGACATCATCTTTGGGGGGTGGGGGAACCTGAGAAGGATGGGTACTGGCCACATCCTGGCATAGCTGATCTCTTTGCTCCTGTCTGGTGTTTGTGGTATGGAAATGCCTGGTGTCTCTTATACCTGGTTAAGGTATTGACAGAGCAGAGAACAAAGTTAAATTAAGGAAAAAAAATTAGGGTCAGGGAATTTAGGGGGATGTATCTGAACTGTTTAAGACGGATTCTTTAATTTGGCTCCCTGGAACTCACAAGAATTTTTTGGGTTTGTGAAAACAGAAGTTTTGGACACACATTGTTTAATGATTGTGACATATTTTGTACAATGTAAAGTAGTTTAAGAGTATAAAAAACATCATGAGAGAGAAATTTGATTTGAAATTGATTGGGTGAGGTTGTTTTTTTTTAAAAAAACTGACAAAACCTCTCAGCTATCAAACTGTATCAGAGATCTTTGAGAAGGATAAAATTTTACTTGGGTTACTAATTAAAAAATGACAGAGAACTTACCTGGTTGGCACCCAGAGCTACTCTTTAGGGTCCTCCATGGTCGCTGACGGTCACATTTGCCTGTTGCTGTTTAATGGAGGGCCTGCCAGGCTCCAGAAGTTCCTGTGGGCTGAGAAATCTGTAGAAAGACATGCTTGCCTTGACCTGAGCAGCTAGGCTGTTGATTCCAGAGATTCTGTTCATGTCAGGAGATCTTTAGTTTAGATGAAAAGCAGTTTTGCCCCATGCAGATGGACATTGTTGTGTGTCCATTTGTCTTCTGTCTTCTTTGAAGGAAGTGAGTGTTGCTGCTAGGAGCCAACCTGTCTCTTTTTGTTATGAAAGGTTTTTAATAATTAAATATTTAAATATCACATTTCCAAGATCTCTGAGAAGTTGAGGGCTGTTTATTAGGTATAACTACAGTATAGAATCTGCCTGGAAGGTTGGATCTGAGCTTGACTGTACTGGCTCTTAACTGGTAAGATTTACACTCATAAAAAGGCAGAAAGAAGAAAAAACTACTTGCAATATTAGGTTAATGGCAGAACTGACAATAGTAAAGAACTGCTTAATGTATTTTAAATGAAGGTTGATTTAAAAATAAGGTATTTTGTGAGAGACTTAAAAGTACATACCAGTTTAAAATATGAGACTTATTGTTTTTATTGTCTGAAATGAGATGAAATAAACAATCATAGCATTTAATAATAAACATAGGTGTATTTAAGTTACATGTATGAACATACACACATAGAGTGAACAGGAATTGGGAAAGAGGGTGCTCTTGGTAGGCCCTACCAAAGGCATGCAACTGCACAAAACATACATGCAACAGAGTCAATAAGAGTAATTTAGTGAAAACGGGGGGACAAGGCAGTATATACTTTAATAAAGATGAAAGAACCTGGTCACCTGACCTGGCTAGGCGGTAAGGTCATCCATGTAATAGAGTTAACACTGAAGAACCGGGCAAGGAATATCTCAGTAAAGATGATGGAACCTTGTCACCTGATCTGGTTCTCAGACAAGATGGTGGCAAAGTCACCTGACCCCAAATCAAAATGGCTGCAAACACATGTTGTATGAAAAAGTTACAATTTTTGAGCTATAAGGATTTTAAGCTTAATAAGAGGGACCTAGAGGTGTGATCTGCCCTGTGGCTGAGTCCCTATGCCACAAGTCACAGAGGGGAACAAAAGGCTGGAACAGAAAAAACTGCACCATGCCACCGCTGGAATTGAAAAAAGCTGGGGGACAGACATGGATGGTTGCTACACACAGCTGAAATTGTGAAAACCTGCAAAACACCACTAGGCCCACTGTGAGATGTCTTTCGACTGTGGCGGGGTGTGAATCAGCACGAACACCACAGGAACCCATGGCCCGGGCGTCCCCTGACCCTGGGTGGGGTGCTAATGCTTGGCTGAATCTTGTCGGTGTGACTGAGAAGACAGAGAGGCCAGAGGCCACTCTGAGCAGCCTTTTACAGCAAGGAATAAAAAGAAAAGAGAAGAAGTTAAAAAAAAAAAAAAAAGATAAAGAATCTGAGGGACCTGGCAGCTAGTTATATGGGCGGCGGGTGGGCAAGTGGCAGACAGTTAGGCACACCATGCAGATGGGTTTGCTTCAAGTTGCAGGGGTTCCAAAAGCAGCCAGTTCCAAGCAGGAATGGTGCACAAGACCATGCAGCAGATCTCCATGTGACTGCCGCTGGCAGGTGAGAGAGACCAAAAAACGTACCATACAGAGTAAAGTTAGACATTTATTAGGTGGATTACGGAGGGGAAAGAAAAAGGGGAGGGGGGAGGGGGGGAGAGAGGCAGCCTCTCCGAGAGAGGGGACAGGAAGAGAGAAAGTAGGGCTCTGAGGCTGCAAGCAGGAAGGGAATGGGCATGGCTTGTCCTTTAGAGATACAGAACAATCATTACAATTACACTGTATTAAGTATTTACGCAAAATGACTTTGACAACATTTTTCTTAATATAAAATTATTAGCAGTATCATTTATGGTCTAATAAACATTTTATATGTAATTGAAGATTTTGTAAAATTAAAAGTATACATTTACTAAGAAAAATGGCCTCTCACAGTGCTGGCATTACTTTCCTTGTGGTGTTCATTAGCATAAAGGATTAGCAGGATGGCAAAGAGAAATTGCTACCTAGGTACACTGAGTTTAGTTTAAAGACGACTGTGTGCAAGACAAATCGGCCTCTGAACACATCCAGAGCAGTTACTATCACCTAAGTGCCAAATTTAGTTTTGTCCTTGTTGTTGACACATATATAATTTTTCCATCAAAAACCTTTGAAGATATTGGGAGAATAGCAGGTCTAATTTTTTTGTTGTTGTTGTTTTATTTGGTTCCTTTGTTTTGAAAAAAAAATTGTAAAATCGATGCAATTTATGATTATTTTGAAATTAGTATTTAATAAATGAAGGAACCTTTGGAACACCTCAGCACTTAACAATAATAAATTTGTATTGAATAATTAACCACAATTATAAAATTACATAAAATTAAGCATAATTACATATTAGGCATTTCAATTCAGTTATTAATACAAAGATTTTAAATTAAAATTAGGTGATCTGTTTAATCTTAAAACAATACCCTACTGTTAAAGTTTATACACTGTTAAGCTTCAGTTAAGTCCTCCTAATTAACTACAGTGAAATATTTTTTAAGTATAAAATAAAACAGAGTCCAGATATATCTTCAGAATGAGTCACTAACTAATGCATTGTGTCTATAAATTTTATAATACTTTTTTCCAATTGTGCTATTTCTGAAGTTCCACACAATTTATTTTTGATGAAGTTAATCACACTGATTATATATTAATAGTATCACAATACACTAATCTTTGAATCTCTATATTACAAAGGACAATTCAGTCTCACACACTGACATGGATTTCATGAAATGTGCATTTATATGTGTGGGGCCAATAAAGGCTTTTAGATCTCTTCTAATAAATGTTTCTTGATTACTGTATTTCTTATTATTTATATCTTTGATGCTTCTGTGAATGGGTTCATACTCACCAGTATATGGGCAGCACAGAGTAGATGTGAGAGGATCTGCACAAAAGAAGGGAAGGAAGGGAGGAAGGAAGGAAGAAAGGAAAAAAGAAAGAAAGAAAGGAAGGAAGGAAGGAAGGAAGGAAGAAAGAAAGAAAGAAAGAAAGAAAGAAAGAAAGAAAGACAGAAAGAAAGAAAGGAAGAAAGGAACACAGGCAGTCAGAAAAGCAGTATGGAGGTCCTTCTTGGAGGAGTGACAGGAGGAGCAGGGGTTGATATGATCAAACTACATTGTAATAAGGAATACAGTTCTGAAAGAATCAACAAAAATATTATTTTAATACGTATATAATCTAAAGTCATAGTTACTGCTTTAGTTTTCTCTTTATCTACTCCTCAGATATAACTTGTATACCCACATCTTAAAAACAACAAACCACAAATCTCTGCCTTTTTCAAGTAATTATTTTTCTTTTCAGTTTCTACAGATAAAGTGATCTGAAGTTGTATACAATATTGTAAAAGAAGAAAAGGAGGCTGTGACATGTGCAGAAATGTCAAAGGTGATTTCATCCTGAACAGCAGCACCTCCAATTCAGTTTATATAAAGCCCCAGTCATATGGACCATATTGTTCACTTTCAGACATACCATTTCTTGTGTGTGAAAAGCTGTAAAACTGTCATTTTATGGTTTACATTGTAAATGTATTTTCCCTCTTTATAATTACATTTTGTGAGTGTTAAAGTGTGAAGGACATTAATGAATGGTGAGAGAGACACAGTATACAAATGTATATTTGTAAAAGCTATTTTTATGATTAGCATGTGTCATTGTTGATCACATAGTCACATAATATTGTAATTCTACATTTAAAGCTTGTTTCCAGCAATGTCATATGGAGAATATACATTGTATGCTAGTTTCTATAATTTATTTTCTATTTATAGTTTAAGGTACTTTAGACTATGAGGAGAACTATTTGAAAAAGCTATATTTCTGCCCTTTATAAGCACCATTTTATTAATAAAGAATGCAGTTATTTCAGAAGTGATGCAACCGTTTAAGGACATTGGTTTGACCTGTGAGCATGCTTGGCACTAGTGAGCTGAAATGATCCAATCATCTATTACTTGAGACTGACTGTGAAATTCTGCGGACAGTTTTCAGTATTTGGATAGATGAGAAGTAGTAGGAAAAGATTGTCTTGTCCTGGGATCCCAAAATTTCAGTTAGTGCACACACCCCTTCATCTCATCCCCTAGTCCTCAGAATCCTCTATTCCCAAGAATTGTATTTTCCAAATTCTCTTGGCTTTTGTCTTGTGCAGTTGAAAAGGGAGAGACCATCCCTACAGAATGTAGGCACATTCAGCACATAATTTCTTAATAAATACTGGTTCTTTTAAAAACAAATTGGCATATCCTTTGTCTTTTTGTGTCACTTTATTAATATTCAGTGTGAACAGTTTGTATCTCTACAATGGGACAAAACAAGTCAAAAATAAAAGCAATCCAACCACACTTAAATATGTTTTGTGTCTGTTTAATATACTCCCTATGGCATGCCTGTGTTTGAAAATACATTTACTTGATGTACAAAAGAAACTTAGATGATCCTCAATTCTTTACAAGAGTCACCATTCAAATTACATTTCAAGAATGTGTATTGCTCTTCTGAGTACTGAAAGATAAGGTTATAAAGTAATCCACCTCATCACAGGGTCTTGCTTTTCAAATAGGCCATACATCTGAAGAGAAATTAGTTTTCCACTACAACTGCTTCATCACATTAAACTATCTTTTTTATCCACAGAAACTGAGAGGAATCAGAATCACCCCAATATGTTTTCTCTAATTTCTGTTCTTATGTCTTCAAGATAGTTTATTTTATAGTTATTCTTTATGTTCTAAATGTAATCAAATGAAAAATAATACAATTGCATAAATAGACTCAAATTCTGTGAGGCAAATTATGATTAGAATTTATTATTAAGAAAGCAAAGTACATTAGTTTTCTTGCCATTTGTCTGTGTGCTTGTACATGTGTGTGCTGTTACTCTTTTCTGGTTTCTTTGTTCAGCAAAATGTTGACATTCAAACTTAATGCCTCATGCATAAAAGTCAAGCATTCTACCCCTAGCTATGACAAATAATGCTGCTATGAACATAGCTGAGCACATGTCCTTGTGGCACAATTGAGCATCCTTGAGATATATACCCAAAAGTGGTATTACTTGGTCTTGAGGAAGGTTATTTCCTAGGTTTTTATTTTTTTATATTTTAAGTCATCAGAGAGAACAATTCTGTTCCTGAATCTCCAGCTGACTTCAACAGAATAGTATCAATATTTTATATTGACAACTCTAAGAGCAGATAGATGGCATAGTGGGGAAATATTCATAGATGTCTGCTGTTGTGTTCCCCTTGGAGGTGGTTTTCTGGGACTATCACAGGAGACTGAATGAACCATACAAAGTCAGGGAAGCAAGTCAGTTTTCACCACAATGTGTTTCTCTCCCACCATATGAGATTTGAAAGTGTCACAAAATGTTCCCTCTGAGGTTGAAAAAGCCCTAGGTATTATTTTGGTGAAGAAGAAACAGCAGAAACTTATTCTTTTTAAATATTTAAGTGAAACATGCACCAATCTGTCTAGAGATGCTTTCTTGGGAATCTGTATGATTGATTGTCCCCCAGTATGATATTTGAAACCTAGCATTATCATGAATAATGGAAAACATGATATTTTTCCTAATAATCATCAAATATTATAAAAAATTAGCAATTAAAATGAGAATAATTTCCCCATAGAACTGTGTGAATATCTATCAGCCTTTCTCTTTAGTCCTTACCTCTATCAGAATAAAGACTTTATTTTGATGATGGATACTTACAAGCTGTCTTAATTGGGGTTTCATTGCACTTTTGATATAGCATGACCATGGACACTCTTATAAAGGAAAAGCTTTTAATTGGAGCGACTCACATATTCAGAGATTTAGTTCATTATCATGATGACATGACATGGTGACATGCAGGTAGGCATGGTAACAAAAGGTAGGTGGATGTTTTATATCTCGACTTGTAGGCAACAGGAAATGGTCTGTGTCACTGGGCAGTATCTTGAACACATACAAGACTTAAAATCCTGCCTCCACAGTGACACACTTCTTCCAACAAGGCCAAACCTCCTAATAGTGCTACTCCCTTTGCGGGTCATTTTCTTTCAAACTATTACATTCCACTATCAAGTTCCCAAAGGCTTATGGTCATATCATAATTCAAAAATTCATTCAGTTCAACTTTAAAAGTTCTTATAGTCTTATAATTAAGTCTCAAACTTATTTAAAATCTAAAAGTTTCATGTATTTTAAGAGAGTCATATAAACTCCTAACTGTAATCGCCTGTAAAATAAAAATGAAAAGCAGATCACATACTTTCAACATAATGTATAGGATATCCATTATCATTCCAAAACACAGGGAAGGGAGCATAATGAGGAAATATTGATTAAATCAAGATAAAAAACCAGCTGGGCAGACACTGAACTCTGCATCTCCATGTTTTACGGCAAAATGTTCTTTAATTTCCAACTTATTTCACCACTGTTGACTGTAACATATTTCGTTCTCTTGGGCTGTTTCCACTCCATTTTAGAAGCTTTCCTCAGCAGGTATCAATGGATCGGAATCTCCAACATCTTAGGTTATCCAAAGGAACCTAAGTCTCAATTTGACAGTGGCCTCTCTAGGCCTCCACAAGCCCCCACTCAAGGACTTTTCTTAGACATAAAGAAAAATTCCATGTACCTGCACCCTTTTTTAAAATACCTAACTCAAGAGTCACCTGACAAAGCTACCAAGTTCTGCTGTATACTGGGCCTATGATGGAGGAGGGTTATCTGTCTATTGTGTTATTTTCATTGGTCAATAAAGAGACTGCCTTGGCCCCTTGATAGGACAGAAAATTAGGTAGGCGGAGTAAACAGAACAGAATGCTGGGAAGAGGGCTATGAGGCAGACGCCATGGAGCCAGCCACCAGGTCAGACATGCTGAATCTTTCCCCGTAAGCCACCACCTCGTGGTGCTATACAGATTATTAGAAATGGGTTAATCAAGATGTGAGAGTTAGCCAGTAACTAATTCTCTAGAGATAATGGGCCAGGCAGTATTTAAATGAATACAACTTATGTGTTATTATTTCTGGGACTAAGCTAGCCATGCAGGAGCCAGGTGAGGCGAAAAGCAGGCCTGCCCGCAGCCCCTTACTACAGGCCTAGGATATGGACAAGTACATCTTCACCAACTTTATGTTTTCTTTTACTGACTAAACTACATAGAACAGACTGGTCTCAGAGACCCACTAGCCTTTACCTTCTTAGTACTGGAATTAAAGGCATGTACTACCAGACCCAACTCTAAGCCTTCCTTTAATTCCTTTTTACAAGTTGGAAATGTAGTTGGGTAGGATCTTTCTCTGGACTCATGACTTCCTTTATTCCATTTCTTAACCAGTTCATTTCTTTGAATACAGAACTTAACTCCATTCCACTTTCTGGTGTTCCATTTCTTCACAAATGTTTTTCTTTGCTCAGCTTGCCCCTTTTCCTTATATATCTTCATTACACTAGTAACCATACAACAAAGTCTATGATAGACTGTTTTGAGATTTCCTTTGCTGAGGGAATTAATGCAAAACCACAGCTTAAATCAAGTCTGCCCATATTTAGGGATAATTCTATTAAAAATTGTCCATGAATGACATTTACTTCACAAAAGGAGAATGTAGGTGAATGCAAATAAAGCAGTCCCAAACCATGTCAAATATAATAAAGTGTTGAGTATATAAAGTGTTCTTTATTTAGGGGGACTCAGAGATCACAGTCCTCTGCATGAATGAGAACAGGAACAAAATCCAAAAGCCAGGAGAGATAGGAGAGAGAGAGAGAGAGAGAGAGAGAGAGAGAGAGAGAGAGGAAGAAGAAGAAGAAGAAGAAGAAGAAGAAGAAGAAGAAGAAGAAGA